CTGAATAAAGAATTAAGTTCATCGAAGCACTCTTGTCTTGACAATCCACGTCGAAAGTTATGAAAAATAATGGCACGAAAATGTTCACGATTCAATTCCATTTTTTGAAAGAGAAGAACTTTTCAATTTACTGTCAACAACACAAATGAAGCTATAATGGTAAATCGTCTGCTGAATTTATGTTTAAAAATATCAAACTTTCGATTAAAATTGTCTGCGGTCGCCTAGCAACACTTACTGTTGCCAAGGCCAGAAATATAAATAGCAACCCTCGTATGGTATTATACGGGAGCGCAATACCTTTAAAAAAAAGATAGAAGGTCGCTTTATTAGATTAAGGAGTATTAGCACTCGATAATTTTAAGAAGTGACTGGAGTGGAAATAATTTTGGTCATTGTCGAATTTGAATTTATGCCCAAGATTCCAACAAATTGCAGCAATAAAATCAGCTCATATTGATGCCCTGGAATCTTGTTTTATTTATATGAATGATTATTCCCTTGTTAGCAATGTTAGTTCTTCATAGCACGTGGAAATGCATTTTACCCTGATTTGCCCGTCTCGGCCATTGCAGTTTTTCTTGTTCTGTTTTTCATCTTTATTCCTCTCTCGGCTACTGTGGTTTTTCTAATTTTGTTTATTACCTTTATTTTTCCATTTTTGGTAGGTAACTTTATGTTTTATATTTCAAATCATTTTTGTTTCTTCTTATTCACGTCTGGCAAGTCTTGAAATTGGGCATCTGTTTTTAAGCGCTTGAAACAAGCCGATTGTTATTTCCAACTTGTATAGTTTTGTGTGAATGAAACTTTTGATCAAATAAGTTAGTGTTGTATAAAAAGAATTCCAAAAAAAATGTTACGTTTTTTTTTTTATATAATCCGAAATATATTTAAATAAACATTACTTTTTAATGTGATGAAATGTCATGATCTAATTCAGCGGTTCCCAAATGGTGTTCCGAGGTACCCTAGGGTTCCATGGAAAAGTTGAATTTTTTAAACAATTTTTAAAAAAAAATATTTTTAGAACCAGCAACTATATTTAGTTTCAATCACTTATCCATTATTTATTTAATATTCCGGTTGCCTTTTCTAAATTAATTTAAGTTAAATGCTAATCAAAAAAAATAGCACATTTTTTAGAGAAATGGACAAAAATACGCAATTTTTGAAATGACAATTGAATAAACTCTGACAAAGACACGCATTTATAATGTATTGCATTAGTGTTTCCCCTCGCTTTTATCAGAATAAAATAATTAAATTTGTTAAAAATGGAATATGTTTCTCTATTAGCCGTTTCAACGTTTATTGTAGTTCTTTTTAGTTTTAATTTCGTAATTCGGCTCATTTCATTCATTTTCAACACATTTATATACACAAAAAAAAAATTTTTTTTTACTAGACTAGAATAAGCTTCAGGACTGGGAATTCAGTTGTTGGACATAAAATTAGGACACTAACTTAAGGTTATTAATGATAAAACGATGAAAAAATGGTATATAATGTTGTCTTTTATAGGTAATTACCTTCACAATTGCCTTTACCCAAGACAAAATTCTTGATGGGACCATCAAGATATTTTGATGGTTTTTGTTGGTTTCTTGATGGCCCAACACTATTTGATGGTAAACATCATCCAACAATTCCCACCATGTGGTAACGGACTTTGATGGGCCAAGTTCAAACTTCCATCATTTCATGTTTTAATGATGGTCTACCAACATGTTATAATCGAAAACCTTTGACCCACAAATTCCCTAATCTCATGATGGAAAATGTTGCTTTAGTACTATGATGGTCAACTGTTATGTTTGAAATTCTTGGGTCAACGACTTCCGCAATTTCATGATGGATAGGCCAATTAACAATAGCGCCTATTTCTCACTCCTTCTCCGTTCTATATGTTTCTTTTACTTAACCTTGATCGTCTTCCTGAGTTTCGATTTAAATATATTCTATATATAAATGAAAGGTGCAATAATAATAAATAAACATCACAATGGAAAAACACAACTTTATTAAACAAGAACGGTTAAAACGAAAAGAGGTTGTATTTGAAATTACTAAATCCAAGTTATACAGGAATCGAAGTGTCTCTTAATAAGGACATTCATTCTACTTCGAAATAAGTAGAATGGATTTCTTTCCTATTTTAAATATCATGTTGTTCGGAAAGTAATTTCGTTTTTCCGACAGAGGATTTATTTGTATTTTTTTTCGTACCCAGCTTCACACTTAAAGGCCGAGCTGATATAGCAAGGCTTATGTGTGAAAAAGTTCAATTAATTCTGCGCAGTAGTTTTTGATTGGTGCCCAGGTGCCCTTTTAAATATGGAGAGCAATAAGCAGCATTTTCGTCATATTTTACTTTTTTACTATAGAAGAGGCAAAATGCTGTTTATGCCAGAAAGAAATTAACCGATGTGTATTGAGAAGATGTGTTGACAGTACGCCAGTGCCGAAACTGGTTTGCAAAATTTCCATCCGGCAATTTTGATGTCAAGATGCACCACGTTCTGGAAGGCCGGTTGAAACTGTTAAAGACCCGATTATCTGATGCAAATCGGCGAGTAACAACACGTGAGATCGGTGAGAGGTTAAATTTATCGAATTCAATTGTTTTTAACCACTTGAAAGACTTGGATTTAACCACTAATGTTTGTTCCCCATGTTCTCAAGGAGAGAAATTTGAGTCGTCGCGTTGACGTCTGTGATTCGCTTCTCAAAACTAACAATCTCAAACGCAAGAGATCACAGAGCAAGAAAGATGAACCGGCTCAAAGCATTTCGAAAGTCAATATCCTTCAAAATAAAGGTGATGCTGTCTGTTTGGTGGGATTTTATAGGAATAGTTTTTTTTGGAGCTTTTACCTTAAAGCACAACAATTAATTCGGAAGTCTACTGTCGCCAGCTGAACAAACTGAATGATGCACTTCAACAAAAAAGGTATAGTGTTCCACCAAGATAATGCGAGACCTCATTCAAGTTTGGTCACTCGCCAAAAGCTCTTACAGCTTGAATGGGATACACTGCCACACCCCCCATATTCTCCAGATCTGGAGCCTTCGGATTATTATCTGTTCCGGTCACTGCAAAATTTTTTGGATTGTAAAACCTTTTCAAATGAAGAGGTCAAAAATCACCTGGATCAGTTTTTAGCAAAGACTAAAAATTTTATGTGCATGGAATCATGCTACTATCAGAAAGATGGCAAAAGGTGTTGAATCAGAATGGCCAATGTATAATTTAATGAAATATTTATTCATTATACGAAAATTGTTTTTCATTTTCCCCCCAAAAAACGAAATTACTTTCCGAACAACCCAATAATATAGATACCATGGAACTAGAAATTTTAACTTTTAGTATGCATAGGCATGAAGGGTAGGGAAAGTGGGCATATGCCCAGAACTCTACGAGGCTTCACGCTGGTAATAAAAGAAAATAATAATTGAAGAATTTTAATTTTTTTAAATTGTGCAGTATTGATAATTCAAAAATATTTTTGTTGTTGTTATTGATAACGATGAAATGGGAAAGAAGGCAATAGTATACTCGTGTCTAGGGAAAAGCTTTATAAATCAAAATTAGAAAATAAGTAATCTTTAAAAAAAAAATTTTAGAGTTTTTTTTGATAGGGGAACTTAAGTACAAAATTTTCAAATTAACAGAAATGTTTTATATGTAAAACATGAAAGTGAAATGGTAGTAAGTAAAATTTTAAGGACAGAAAAAAATAACAAAATAAAGTCGATAATTTTTATTATTATTTATTTTTTTCAAAAATAAAGGTGAAAATCTTAGATTCTAAGCGATTCTATCCTAGGGATATCGCAAAAATAGAATATTTTATGTAAAAGGTTTTTTGTTAGGACTGAGATTCAACTTAGCTCGGCTTTTTACTAAAGTGTTCATTTTTTTATTTTAAAATTTTCATACGTCATTACTGGGTCTTAATTTTATATATTAACTTACGTTTTTTTACAATTATTTTAAAATTTATTTTAATGACCTCAATTAACTTAAATGAGAAAGGTAAAAACTACTTTTTCATTTATTTAAACTGTTAATATTTTTATGAAGTATTAATATTTATTTAAAAATTCCGATTTAAAGTAATGAATTTTGAAACTAACATAAATTATTTTTGCATATGAAAATGCAAATTAAAATATTGCTATTTAAGAAAAAAGAAAAAAACTATTTTCATAATTAAATTGCCAAATTTTTAAACAATTTTTCTTTTCTTTTCAATGTATTTTTTATTAAGTAATATGTTACCATTAGTAACTTAAAAAAAATTAAATGAGTCAGGATTGAAAAGTTAACTATTTGATATATTAGTAAATCAAAATGAAATAAAATTAAAATAGGTAAATATTTTTTTTTAACGAAGCAAAAGGAAATTCTTAAAAGTGAATACAAAACATGGCGATTCTGAGATAAGTTTGCGAATGCTTATTTAACCAATCTCTTGCCTTCATTTATTTGGTTTTATGTCACACAAACACTCAAAATTGTTAAATAAATTGATAAATGTTGTTAAAAGGTCATATTTTAAATAAATATTTACTTAATAAATGCAGTTTTCAATGAAAATTCTTATATTTGATACATAGTTAGAACTGAACAATTCAAGTAACCTCGAAAGGTTATTTGCTCATTTATTTTTAAAGAAACAGAGATAAACAAGCATTCCGAAATTATACACTTTAAGGTCATTTATATACTACATGTATAAGTAAATAAACTCATTAAATTATAAATAATAATTTCCCCTCTCATAAGCTAGCTCCACTTCCAGACGGACAGTTTTTTGCAATTTATTACCTATTTCTTATTATTTTGAGATCTTCTAACATTAGAAAACCTTTTTTTAAACTGTTTGCTCAATTCATCACTGCATAATTTTCCATGTCAATGATTTTAACTATCTAAATGGGCTTCAAACTCTCAGGCTAATGTTAACACTACTTAAATAGAGAGCTTGTTTGCTTCGTAATGGTGAGCAGTTCAGCTCTCACGATCGGCAGTCGAAATTATCTGCAGCTGGAACACTTCGCATGGTTTCACCATTATCGTGTGGAGAGTAATAGGAGAAGGAATTGCGTTAGTCTCTTGATTTTTAAATATATTAAAAACTTTTAAGTTGGGAAACAATTCGGAGCTGATCACTATATTGAACATAGATCTAAAAGAGAGTATCGAGGAAATTTGAAACAATATTTATGACAATTAAATACGAAAAATATAAAAGGGGAAAATATGGTAATACCTGCCAATACTACTTAAAAGAAAAAGGTAAAGACATGGAACCGCTCTTCTCCCCAGATGGCGTATTTGAGCGTTGCGATCGCGAAGAGCATCTGATGAGCTTCGAACAGCAAATACTCATCCTTGTGCTGTTTTCCTCTTTGATCAGGACAAATGAACAAGGGAAATGTAGATTAAGGGCTAATTATTCATTAATTGCTAGCGATATAATTACTAATGAGATATTCGAACGCAATTACAATAAATCTTTCTTAGTGCCAGTCCGACTATAACCTTTACGATTACAGTGGCCTTGAACTAAATAGGTTGACGTCAGCATGACAAAATTTCTCATCCAGCTGTAAAATTTCTCTGCTGTGTCTTGTTGTGTCTCTCCTCTTTGGTTTAGTCAACAAGAAAAACAATAAATTTCTATAATTTCCCTATCGTTTAATTAATAATTATGTAAATTGCAGTTTATTTTAAAGCAGTACTCCGATTAATAAAAAGTAATATTATATAATAAAGCTTACAATCGTATAAGTATTTTGTTATAATTATATGAAATTATTTTTTACTATGTCCTCCATAGAATAAAATGAGAATTATTTTGCAAATTTTCTGATCTCTTTAAAGTTAAATAAACCATAATTTCATTTGTATATCCCATTAAAATGCATATTTAAGTACCTGTTAAACATTTATCTCTATAAATACTGTAAATAGTCGACTATTTAATGTATAGAATAGTTATGTTTCTTGGTTTAGTGATTATATTGGTAACTTGTACTTCATAGTTGGTAAGTTTCTTATTCTACTGTTGAAAAGATCTTTATGTAGAAAAAGAAATTTTATTCATAAAGAATTCATTTTTAACATTTTAATGAATCCTTATTGCATATATTTCTTAATACTTGTCAGGACTGTTAAGATAATTATGTACAAGAGATACAGCAATTTAAAGAATTTTCTCAATCAAGAAAAATTCGATTTTATCAATATAATTTAGACAAATACTTAAAATTATACCTATTCAAATGAATATTATGTTAAATTTTTAAATAACTTATTGCAGGCTTAATTTTCTTAAAATGTTTTTCATCCTGTGTACAATTGAAGGTGAAAAATTATTTACAGTATGGAACAACTAGTATTAATAAATCCATCGTTAATAAGTGATACATTTTAATATATTTATACTAACACAATAAAAACAAAAAGGATAAAAAAGAGAGATTACCAAAGAAAATTAAAAAATTTAAGTGCTATTTACTTTGCATAAGCTGCAAGTTTATCAAATAACTCTTTCTTCTTAGTGGCTGAGAGAAAATTTATTCTGAGTATTAGTATAATTTTGAGTAAAAGCTGGATAAAGATATGGAGAATTCTTATTTTAAATAGGGACTCTCTTTTAGTAAGAAGGTACGAAGAAAAGGATCCTAGGTCCTAAGGACCCACTGTTTCTAACGTCTAGTAGAATCAATGTAACATAACATCATTGAGTGGAAAGATTCACAAAATAAGTATTGAAGCGCAAAATGAGAAATCTTGAAAATTTATGTTTCCTAGTATATTTAGCACCAATAATCATTGTTTTTCTTTTAATTTAATAAGTAACAAAGGATTCGAAGGTTGAATTAAATGAACTGAAGTTGGATTGAATTTAATGAAACCTGTAATGACAAGTTGTTCAGTATATACAAAAGTTACAATGGATTTGGTGCAAGGATATTATAGAAATGTATTAATGTTTGAAATCAAGAATTATTTAAATATGTTTGGTAGATATCCATTATTGGGACCACATGACGCCAAACTTCTTCCTAACTTAGAAACAGTGTCAGATTCTGGTTTTATACTCGTTGCTAGCAGTAATTAATACTCGTGAGAGTATGTAAAGCGATATCACCATTATTTAAGATAACAATTCTTATCGAATATAATATCCCAATTATTAGGAATAGCTATCATGATTAAATACAATAATGTGATCATTATCAATGCCACAACATATCTATAAGATATTTTTGTGAATATAATATATATTGATAACTAAAGAATATATTATTGTGAGTGCTGATGAATTCTATTTAGATAACATTGACCTATGTAGAAGTATAAATCAATTAAATTGAAAAAATATCGTTATATGTTGTTAAATATTGACATTATTGACAGTAAATCAATAAAAAAAAATTTACTTATTCGTTTTTGTAAAAAATGTTTGTGTTGGCAGTTACTTGGAAAAGCAGTGTCACCAATATTTGATTCCTATACTCGATAAGTACCTAAGTTTAATTAAATGAACTAAATTGGGATTAAAAATATGAATCCTAAATGAATTATTGTTCAGTACACAAAAATGACAAGGGATTTAGTTCAAGAAATACTAGATGCCATCATAAATTTTTTTTATTTTTTTATAAAATGTATTGTATTGTATATAAATCAGAAACTATTAAAATATGTATGGTAACTTATTAATTTTGATTTTTATTGAAATAATTGACTTTTCAGCAATTTCATTCACCTGATCTAACATGATTGAGCCTAATCATTCTTTTAAAAGTGTTGAAGAAGAAAGGGATTATTACAAAAAATTGGCTATTACCTATGAAAAAAAGTAATTATTATTATTATTTTTTTTTTACTATTGCTTTAACCTTATTATTTCTGTAAAATTTGAGTGTTGTTCAACCTTTTCTTTTGCATTCAGCATTTTTAGTGTTAAATATATTCTTAAAATAACTCAGAATGCACAGAAACTTTTAACTTTGTTCTAAAAGTCCACATTTTGGGCTTCCCCCTTTTTTATAATTTTTTTTTCTTCTTAATTTTACAAGCTTTATAAAATTTATTTAAAATATTTATCTATTCAATATCTAAATGAAAGTCATTTTTCAATACTTCACAAAGTGAACATCTTGAGATTAAATGCTATTCTATCCTCTATTTCCAACCTTTTAGTTATTTCACTATCTTTAAATTTGTCACGCTGGTTAAATGTAGCAGTAATTAAAAATAAGATTATAGAATGAATGAACACTTTGTACATTTTATTTACAGAAATACTAATAAGATGATGTTTAGGAGTAGGACTGGGCGATATTAGAAATTATGTATCGTGATGCATCGTCAGTTTTGCATCGCGATATAGCGATGTATCACGATATAGTATTTTTGAATTTCATTTACTTGTAAGGCACAGAAAGTCAGATTTCTATCAAAACTTCATACTCAGATTGATTTAAATCAATTTATAAATTTGAAGATATATATGTTTTGCTTAAGAAAGATATTAAATAAATTGACTAC